TAAACCAAAATGTTCCTGGTGAGCAAAAGGTCACCAAATTTGAATAGGAATATTCCTGTAGGTCCCAAACAAAGGACGCCAGAATACTTGGAAAGCCCAGGGTTTGAGTTAAAGCCTCCAGCAAATAGTTACAATTTATTGAAGGAATAGGTCTTATTTAATGTTATGCCAATTCTAACATTGTCCTTTATTTTTATAGGACGAAGTATGGTTATGCAGATTGAAGGCCAAGAGGTCAAGCCTTGATATGCAGATTTTAGTGTTATGCATAATTTCGAGAAAGATTACTTCTTCAATGACTTATATGAGCTGAAACCAAAATCCATTCTTATGCTGATTCAAATCTCTTGGGGAAAACTTTCAGTCAAACAAAGGCCTTTCATACACAACATCTGCTTAGCCTGAGTTGTAGATGGGGTCATAAAATGACCCAGTTATGAGTAATGCTAGGTTTGAAACTGATGCCTGATGAAGGTTATGATATGTCCCATTTCTCTTTGTCCATGCACATCCAACTACTTATAGATCTTGGCTTGATTCGTGGAAAAATGTCAAAGGAGCAGGAGCTTTAAAAATGTTTTCAGTGTCAGGTGCTTACAGAATCCTTTTTCAGACCTATAAAATGCAAAGACACATAAGGCGGCTGAGCAGGTGGGAAGGCAACGCGGGGGCCTTTTGTATGCACACATGCCCCTCCCTGGTTCTGCTATACATACGTCAGTGGCAACGCTTGCATAGACTGAAGTTGTAGTCCATTGTGAATATGTGTTCCATATGTTTGCTCTTTGTTCTCAGGAGCGTGTTAATAACCAAATATCAGGCAAACATCTGAATTATCTTTTTAAATGATAGATTCCAAAAAACTTAATGAAAAGCTGTTTGTTACTTACAAGCTAACACCATGACTTTCTCTCGAAAAGATTATTTAATTCTTCTCAGTAGTCTGTCTTCTGTATTGATTTGCTGTCCTTTGTAGCTATTCCTCTTTTCAGAGATTTAAAAATTCCAATTCCTTTAATTTAGTATTGTGGTTTTTGACCTAACTGCTTTAACTTCTTCAATGGCAAATGAGAGGTAAGGTTTACACCAGTGAGGAAAAATCCAATGAATGTTCATATTCATGATCTCAGCATAATCATGTTCTAATTCTAGCCAAAAAACTACAAACAGAGCAGAAAATATAGCAATTGTCTTCACTGAAGTTCTGTCTTTTGAATCTATTGTCCTAACTCATAATTACCCAAAATGAGTTAATATTTGAAATATAATATATAATTTGTTATTTTTCCAAAGATGATGATTATGTTTCCTAATTTCCTTCCTTTTGCTGGCTATTTTTAGTTAGTTTCCCCACTAGTGAATGCTGCTGCTGCAAATTCTATTTCAATTCAAATACATAGGAATTCCAGTGTTTTTATTTCTGAAAGCGGCAGCAAACAGCACCAGATTTTTTGTTTGCTTGTTTCAGTTTAGTGGCAACTTGCACTTCTTTTAAAGTTTAGTGTTGAATTTTAAACCAAGTGTAATTTGAACAAATTGTTTGCTTGTTTTAAATTAGTTTTTCACAAGTGTGCACTTGTACAATGATGGAGCTGAAATGAAAATCTTTGCTTCATCAATGTCTTCGGAAGTGTCGCCTATAAAAGTTTAGTGACCACCATCCAGGAACATTGATATAAAAGTTACAAATGAATTAATGTGTTGCTTTGCTTCCTCTGACAGCAGTCATTAGCAAGCTGTTAAATGAAATCAAAGCCATAAATGGATCTTTGGACATGAAAGGAGGTAGTGTATTTTAAAGCAAAATTCTCTTTTTTAATATGTGGATCTGAGAGTTCTTAGTATTCTTTACCTTTTCTTTCCTTTTCAAGAATTGGTGCTCAGGAAAATGGAAAAATACAAGCCCACCTCATTCTTGGGGGAAATTACATTTTGACAGCTGACAACTGTCAAAGGAAATCTTTGTTAAAGGAAAGGCTTTAGTTTAAAACAGCTTTCTAATACAGTGGAGCAGGGTTCCTTCCTTCCTTCCTCTTTTTCCAGCCCTGAAATCTGGGTTTTATGCTGTTACATTTTTGTGCAATGTATTTGCATGTACTTATTGTGCACTGTTCATGCACTATGCAATGAACTTCAGTGCAAAATTTGGAGGGGGCAAATTTTGAAAAATAATTAGAGTTGCATATTGATTCAAAAGTATGCAGGCAGGCAATTTAGCATCACGTATCTGTTCCCCATCTCTAGCATGCCCATTATCCTCACATGTGAATATTCTCAAGTGCCTTGAAACTAGAACATGCTAGCTTTAAATATTTTAGGGAACAAATGTTGGAAGAGGTCTAAAGAGATCTCCAGAAAGCTTTGACTATTGACTATTTATTTCACAGTCAAGGAAATAAATAATTAAATGAAATATTAGCCCCACAGTTTTCTGTAAGAAAGTCAAGAAACCCATTGCTTGACTTTTGGAAATTTCTCCAAATATGCTAGAGTATGTAGTGTTGAATATGTGATGGTTCATATTGGATAGTCCTAGTTTGTGTCTAGTTAAAGAGCATCTTATAAAATTATAACTTATGGTTTGGGGTTCCATTTTTATCTCCAGGATTTTCCTTTCACAATTCAGACTTGTATAATCCCATCTGAATGGTACCTTAATTTCAACATTATCCAGGGATTTAAGACATTTGTCTGCTATAGACAAGAACTGTGTGAATGATTGCTATAAAAGTGTTTGGGTTCTTGTACATCATCTCTACATAACCTTGAACATGACAAATGAGGATTTGAAGAGCATTAGTAATGTCCAGGGAATGCAATCTATTCTCTGCCTCTGCAATCATAATTAGGTTCTGATAAAGCAGTCTGTAACAATTTACCAAGAACCTTGGCTGCTATTGGCATGTTCCTTTAAAAAAAGAAAGTCTGCATATCTCAGAACATTTGCAAATGATAAGTCAGTAACATCAATTCTCAAATAACTTAATGAAGGTGTTGTCATCTATGTTCAGATAATGACATGGGCACACAGATTCCCTAGAATGGTACAAATCCTATCTAAATCTAAACTGAACCACTTCCTCAATTAGGAAAGTAGCAAAAATGTTGTTTGTCTCTTTTTATCTGGACCTCATCTAGGTGGATTTCCTACTGATGATTCTTAAAATTGTTGTATCTACATGTTTGCGCATGTGTAGTCTGCTTGCATGGTTGCATGAAAATACATTATGTTATATACAATGTTGCATTTTTAATCTTGTTTAAATCTCTGCAAACTGACCATAGAGCTTTGGCTATTGGGTGGAACGACCTAACTCTAGTCCTGATGAGAACACTGAATATAGATAAATATTTACTGCATCTTATCTAGGTTCAAGTGTATCTAGGCTATTATCTATATCTACCTCTTTTGTGTTCACAGAAACCTAGTGGCACAGAACTTTACAGTTTGTGTACATCTACTGATTCGAGTAGTCGTGCCAAACAAACACATTTCACAAAAATGTTCAGCCATTCCCCTGAATTCAGAAAGGCTGGAAGTATGTAAAAAAAAAAGTCAGCATACAGCGGCTACAAGGGTGCTGAGCCTGTTCCTAATCTTCTAGTTTGAACATGACAATCTGAAACGAACTCTCTGATGCCAAGTAAAGTTCTAGTACTCTCCAGACATTGCTGCTCAATGTAGCAAGGTTGGAAACTTGAGCGGATGGGCACCAACTCATACTGGAATAATTTCCTTGCGATTGCAGGAATTGTTATTAATCAGTAATCACTTATTTTGAAACTTCCTTGCTACATTTGGTAGATGTTTTTAGCATTAGAGAGTTCACTAAAAACAATTATTTGTGGGGGGGGGGGAATAATGTAGCAGTGCTTTTCTCTCTTTGCTAATGGCTAAGAAAAATCCATTAGACACTGGAACGCAAGTGTGATGTCATGCATAAATGCTATCATTTTTAAAGGAGCAACTCAGAAATATGATTTCTGAATTGATACTTTGATTTATGATATATACTTGATATATGAATTCCAAACAATGGTATAAAAAGTAGAGATTCATGAAGTACATATACATATACTGTTTTCCCCTCATTATGGCTAATCAAGGAACTGAATATTTAAGTAAGAAATAATTATTACTATTTCTGAGCAAAAGAAATTTAAAAAATGGCAGAACTGTCAGTACTAGACTATATTGACCAGGAAAATATGAAAATGGAATTTGTAAAATTTGAGACTCTTACCTTATTTCTTCAATTGTTCTGCTATTAAACACAACCTCACAGTTACACTCATAGCACCTCAAGAATCAAGAAATGGGTCTTTTGTAAGTGATACTAATGCTGTTTCCCTTGCACAAACTTTCTATGTCCAGTTATGCCCTGGGTAACCCATGCTTCCTCACTGGGCATTGGCCTTGCAGGCTGGGAAATGTGGGAGCTGGAATCCAATTCATCTGGAGGGTTTCGAGTTGAGGAAGTCTGGTATAGTTATTTTCCCTACTAGGAGAGAATAAATGGAAGGAGGACAAAAGCTTAGTTGAGAATGTCCATGGTTTATCCTCTACTGCAATGCAGCTTTGATTCAAAACTGCATTTTAAAATGCACATATGAAGATAGCATATATTTAAAAATACATACAACTTCAAATGCATATTTTTAAAATTATATGTTCATGAAGATTTTGTCTTTGTCTTTAGGAAAGTGACTAATTTAATGCAGAAATGTGATAGAACAGAATTATGTTTTACATGCAAAAGTGAAACAGACTAGAAATAGATAAATGGATGATCCTTTCTGGCCTTATGGAACTACTGGATATTAATGTTAGATGTGGAACATATATTTAATGAAATTATTCTTGGCATGTTTTAGTGGATGTAACATTACTCTTGTTTAAAAAGAAAAAAATGTCTTATTCTCCCATATAAAAATAAAAATAAATATAAATGCACGCACACATGCTTCAAGTGGGTTCAGAATAATCTGAAATATTTTGGGATCTAAAACATATCATCTCATTTTGTGACAATTGTTTAAACCAGCACTAGAAATCCATTATAATGCCAGAAGTTAATTTTCCCTTGCCATCTCAGTCTTTCTTTCTCCATCCTTTGATCATGATGCACCTTCTCTTTTATGATCCTCTGTACCAGTAACCTGCTCTCTTAATCTAATCACACATATTTTTTGCTCCACTGTTTTCAGCTTCAGTTCTTTAATTTCCTTTTCCTTTGGTATCTGTCTCACCTACTCTAAGCAAGCCAAGCAGCTGCTTCTTCCTTGTAATCTCATTGCCTGCCCACCACCATGCTATCTCTCTCGTTTGCCTCCAAACATACTGAGCATCTTGGCCTCTGCCACTAAGATATCTGCTCTAAGTTTTTGCTGTTCTTTTTCTCTCTCCTAATATTCTGGGTCCAGCTGTGCTGCCGCCACCACTAAAATCCCTGGAGCCCTTCCCCGTGTTGACATCAGAGATGCAGAAGGGCTTTGATGATCCTTGCTTCCACCAACAAGTCACTTGCCTCACCCTTTCCTTTCCACACGTGTTTTTCTGACATGGAGGCATTTGACACAGCAGCCAAACTGCTGCTAAGCCCTGTTGCTTTTTGGGAGGATCAATATAGCAGCTGCCAGCGACAAAACGGCAAGGCAGCTCCCATAATAAATCCCAAGATTGGGGCAGAGGGAGCATCTTTGGTAGGAACAGGTGAGGTGCCAGCCCTGTTCATCAACATTGCAGTGATAATGCACTGATGACAACAATAATCTATTACTAATGCTGGCAGCTTCTTCTGATTCTCCTGTAGTTTGGCATTAGTTCAGAGCTGTAATTGTACTCACCAGAAATCTAGGATGGGGTTTATCCCACCCCTTTCCAATTTCCTCACTAGAGCAAGTAACTTAAAGGATCCCAGACTGGTGCTTTTCCGCACCTCGCCTGGGCTGGATTACCAGGATGCTTCAAACCTGCATCTCCTCCCATGTTCCTCACTGAGCAGCCACACTGCCACCATTGCTGGCTGCATCATCCTACAGGGCTACTGTTACAGCAATCCACCCTTGAAGGGTAGATTCTGACTTCGCCAAAGGACCTCCAAATCCTGGAACTGGCACGGGGCGAAGGATCACTCTTGCAACAAGCAAGGTCCAGAAGAGATGCAACACACACAATGTTATTTCAGACATTCTTACTCCTCCTCCTGCTCCTCCTCCTGAATTTCAGTGCTGCCCAGTAGTCAAAGCTCTCTATGTGGTTCACAAAATGATTTTATAACATATGATACTGTAACGTAATAGAACATGCACGCGCGCGCACTCCCTCTCTCTCTCTCTCTTAAAAAATCCCTTCTCTATTCTAGAGCACTAAAATGGTAAAAATGCACATGGCATTTCATCCATCACAATTAGCAAGCACCCTCACATACCTGCCACCCATACTCTGTAATTGGCACACCCAGCCATCCACAAATATCCATAGCTACTTGCATGTGCTCTTCACCTGGACCATGAACCCACAGCTTACTGTCAGGATTTGACCTCAGCATTAGAGAGAAAGGTCTCTGCTAGTTTTCCATTCTCTGGACGCAGGGGTCAGTGCCCGGCCCACTTCAGCACACCCAGATATGATGGAAATGCATATGAACAGAACATTTCTGATGTGCATGATCTCAGAGAAAAACACCACCAACCACTACCTCTAGAATCTCACATTTTTTTCCTATCAAAACATTTGGTTCAGTATGTTATCTGGTGTCAGGATGAGAAGGGCTGTGAATCAGGATCATGGCAGTCAACTGCCTTTTCTTCCTTGGGCTATGTTGCAATTTCAGCCGGGAACAGCAAGCTGTTCCGCGCGTGATAAAGCATGCTCATTTCACAGTTGTTGTCTGGGCAAATTTGATCAAAGTGCAGCTATTCTTTTTCTTCCAGACAATGGAAAATACGTGGCCATCGTTGCATTATGCAGTACACAGCAGACAGCATTAGTTTTCACAGCCTCAGCAAGGGGCATATTTCTCATTGTAATGCAGTGTTCCTATCCTATCTCTTTTTCCTTTCTTCTTTAAAGTTTAGAACAATGCTTTACAGTTCAGCTGATGTTCCTTGCAATGCAGGCCTGCAGTCCAGAGTGCCCCATTCAGGTTTCCAACCAGACTACTCCATTATCTTGTTCATTGCTGGGGGTTTTTTTTTTTGTTTTGTTTTGTTTTTTTTTTTTGTGGCGGGTACCTCTGCACATGTTGGCTTTCCCAAAGATACCTCTACCTTCCTCCTAGATATCTCTTAAGCATGGATGGTGGCACTTTGGCTAGATACTCTGGAAAGGTCAGGGATCTCAGGAAAGCAGGTACGGAATGCACAATTGGAGGCCGGGGGAGGCCAGCATGTTCTGTCCTATCCTGTTTAACCTCTCACGTGTTCTAGAGAATGCATAAAGCTGGCCTGTTGGTAAACTCTATGACAGAGGTAAGCTGATGGAACTGCCCCCTGGTAAGGGAGAAGAGCAAAGGAAACAGGTAGGCAAAGGTAGGCAAGCATCAAGACCTGCTCCAAAGTTGAGATTCCCCCAACCTCAATGGCTAACTGACATCAACTATCCTGTGGCAAAAAAGGAGCAAGAGGTGGGAATTTGGCAAAGAAAGCTTCAAGGCCTGCACCAGCTGGACTAGCTCTACCACCACAGGGCTTGCTGGCATCAATTCCCCACAGAAAGGATCATTAGCTGGGGCGTCCTGCTGATTGTGCTGTTTGCTTATGTTTTCTAAGCATGTAGTTCCTGTTAATCTACTGAATTTTGTAAATACTGCAAGCTGCTAATAAGACTCTAGTTGAAAATATGATATAAATCTACTAACTCAAATAAATACAGGAAATCAAGGATTACACAGTTCCTATATAACAGCTTTTCCCAACCCAATCCTGATGCTTTGGACTTCACCTACTGATAGTCCCAGCCAGCATGACCAATTGTCAGAAACACAGAGAGCTATAGTATAAAACGGCTGAAGGATACCGAGTTGGGCAAGGTTGTGTATGAATTTGGCTTTGAAGTCAGCTGGTGAAGCTTTCCATTTCTATTTTCAGTATCTAAATATAGGAGGCACCCATTTGTTTACAGCTGCACTGCAATCCTAGCTACATTTCCCAGAACACCATGTGCAACTGCACCACGAGCATACCTACATTTCCTGGGACACCACAAGGCAGTTCTAAGCATTATGACAACTCTCTTACCTTTTTCATGTGAAAGGGATAGGGCAAGAAGTGGGGGTCCAAGAGAGACGAATGGTGACAGACTGAAAAAGTGAATAATGGGGGAAACATTACTGGAACTAGCATGTTCCAGATAGTTAATGGGGCCATGTATTTTTTCAGATCAAGCTGCCTTATTAAAGCCCTCTGGTGAACTGTACCAGACTAAGTTCAAAGTCTGCATGATTGCTATTGTCACTATGATCACCAAAATCACAATCATGTGGCTTCCAGGTATGACAAGCACTGAAACTTAACTTAAATTGACAGGGAGATGGGATATACAGACTTGATAATATGGTAAAAACCATATAATGACACTGATGTGGAGAGGTCAGATCCCGGTGATACTAGCTGAACAGTCCAATGTGCACATAAATAAGAATTACACAAGCAAAACCCACAGCCAAAAGCAGCAGAAATGCCCTGTTCAGCACTCCTGCCAGTGGGCTTTGTGGCATAACAGAAATCAAGCAGATTTGACAAAGGAACTGCTTCCATCCATAAGGTTGGACAGGAAAAGAGTGGAAATCTGCCTTCTGGAATATTGTTTATTCTTATTAAAAACAAGTACTATATAGGAGCATCTGCAGGGTAAAACAAACAAAAGCATATTTCTCCTTGACAGAGAGAAAAGTACTTTCTTCTTTCCTTACTGCAACTTATTCTCTTATTTATCTAACCAATGACAATGGACCAATTATGGCAAACTTGCTCGGATTTCCACTTGTTACCCATCTTTCTCAGAATTACAGGAAAATACTAGCCCCAGTGCTGTATTAATGAAAAGTAGTCTTCAGACTATACAGATATAAGAAACAAGAGATAACATTCATCAATAATGTTTCTGTTCCTTTCTTTTGAAGTGATGCTAAGTTGGTACTGGAAGTCAGAAAGGTTTTGCTAGGCCTAGTATAATCTAATGTATTACCTAACTGATGTGATACTGTTGCTTGAAGCTGAAAATAGGCATTGTAACTTCAGCAAATTCGATTTATCTCCAACCAGGCTATTTTGACCAAAAAATAAAAAATAAAAAAGTGTGTGTGGGAGAGCGAGATACCCAGTCTAGAAGTGATAAGATAGTAATCTATTCCAAATCCCATACCAATCACCAACTTTATCAGTATAGAGGAAACCAACTAATACACAGAAATCATTTGTAGTTAAATTAGAAAAGAGGATTTCACTCTCCAACTGTTTTTAATAATAAAATGCACATCTTCCATCAAATCAGTTCAAACTGTGTCTCCTGATTGTACTGAAATAGATGGCTATGATCAGGATTCTCCTCGCAACAAGTCCTAAATTGTATGTAATTAGGATGAACAAATATACTTTGGTTATCTTTTTTTAAATAGCATTGACAGAAAAGATGTTTTCTCCATAATGATAAGGAACAGAGTAATGTTCCATACCAAGATGTCATGGATTTAATGCCATGAATCTACCTGCAATAATAATTCCCAATTTGGGTTCCCAGTAACACATGCAATTCAAACAATTCAGTCATCCATTTTCGAACAAATGTGAACATTAAGCACAAATACATGTTAATTAATACTAACAAAGGTTGATAGATATTAGCTACAGTTCCAGTGGAGATTACGTAAATCTGAACCAGTAAATTGCCTAGATAGGTATATAGGTTTCTCTTCTAGAGGATGGGAAGCTGTTCAATTATAGAACATTTTGATGAATAGAACAGCTTTCCCAAGGAAAGCTTGCTTGGCACCTCGTCTGTTGCCTTTTGGGGCCTGCAAAGTCCCTTTCATTTTCTCTACTTGTAATTTGTGAGAGTTTATGACAACTAGCTCATCCTGACATGCTCTATTATTCTTGTATTGCCTTAACAACTGTGGCATCCTATTTTTGAACCAATATTAATATTGAAAGGTAGCATACAAATTAATGAAAACAAAGACCGACCTTTCTTTCTTTCTTTCTTTCTTTCTTTCTTTCTTTCTTTCTTTCTTTCTTTCAATGAATAAACATATTAATAAAATAACTAGGAAGTATATTCCCACAAATTTGTTCCTTTTACTCTTTATTCACTAAGAAGATTTTGAAATGATTTACAACCGACAGGACTGAATAATTTGCAGGTGAATTACTGAGTTTTCATTTGACAGATATTAGTTTCGATATATAGCTTGTCTTCTTGTCACTGAATGGCCATTATCTAAAGAATACTAATTGTTCTTATGCCCCATTAAATTAATAGGACAAGTTAGCGGCAGCGTATTCCATTGGCCTAAGAAAGGATCTAACTATGACAGACCTTGTTTGTCATGGGGCTACGGCTGCTGAGAGGAAATCACAAGGGCCCATAGTTACTCAAGCAAAATACCTTAACATTGGATTTTAGTAAACATAAACAAAATCATTGCACTTTAAAGACCAAAATTATGCTATACGCTTGCATTAACTTGAATTCACTTCATTAGATACATTTGATAAAGAGGAACAATTCTCTGAAAGTTTATGCCATAATAAATATATCAGCCTTTTCGTTCAGTAACACTATTTGTTTTGTTGCAACACACTAGCATACTACTCTAGTGATGGTTAGAATGACAATCAAGCATGCCTGATTGCCTCATTGAACTTTTGGAATGGGGGTGGGGGGCAGGTAGATATGCCTGGCTGATGATCAAGTGGCTTCTACACTAGTGTGATTTCCACCTGTA